TCAGAGAAATGAATCGTTCCTGCAGGAACAGAGGAAGAAGAAACTCCACGAGCTTCAGGATCAGCTGATCACCTTGTTACACGTTCAGGAAGTTACAGCTCATTTAAAGGCGACATATATTTTGTTACATTTAAGCTCAACAGATCTTAAGCTTTAATTTTATTCAGTTATTTTGGGAAACTTCGCCTGCACTTTAGTTTGTGTGGTGGATTTATTGATCTATATTTTGAGCAGACTTTTTCAATCTAAATAACAGAAGGATCTTTTTTATTTTTATACTTTGAGACTGAATACTAAATAAAGTAATTTCAGTAAAATTACCCCTTGCTTTTTTTAAATTTTATATAATACTGCAAAGCAACATGTTAAGTTAATTTTGTCAAATAAATAACGGATTTCATTTTTTTTTTTTATCACAAAATTTATCGTTATCGTCAGAATGCTCTGAAATATCACGATATTATATTTGAGCCATATCGCCCACCCAAACACTATACTTTATGGCAGTTTGTCACTTTATAGTCCATGCTCAGTCCTGGGGGTGGGGTGGGGGCGGGCTCCATCATTTTGTCACTCCCCCGTGTCGTTATAAAACGAGTTGTTCTGTCTCGGTGGCAGCTGCCGTTACTTCACTGAGCTTTTTTTTTACTTCTCATGAAAACGTGTCGCCTGAGTTCAGGTTTGCTGCCTCGGCTGCTGTTTCCAGGTGAAAGCAGCCGCGTGGTTTCAGCTGAAGATGCGCCGTCAGACCGGACCTCCCTTCCAGAAGCCTCGTCTCACAGCGCACCTGTCCCAGGTGTTACTCCACATCCTCAGGACCAAACCAGTCCAGTGGAGCTGGACCCTCACAGGACTGAAGGTGATTCAAGATCTAACCCTGAAAACGACTGAAGGTTCTGGTGGTTGACCCTGTTTGCTGTTTCCAGACTCAGAGTTGTTCCACCCGCTGGAAGCTGAAATGACCCACAATCTAACCGCGGACCCCTCGATGACCTTTCACCTGCCTGACCACGACGTTTCTGACGCTCCTGAAGGACATTCAGTCGGCGAGGACCACAGCGTTTCCACACCTTCTGGGTCAGAACCATCACCTGAGCAGCTTCGAACAGACGAGCCAGACCACCGTAGACCCTCTCCCTCCGTACAAGAGTCCTTCTGCCAGCTTATTGCCGAGAGTCCCCCCCAGGAGTCCATTCTCATGGTGTCCCCATCTTTAAAAGCTGACGAGGAGCAACGTTTAACCTCGTGTTCTGCCACAGCAGCTCCGAGGACATCACTGTCGGCGGCAGAGGGTTCTACAATGTACAAAGATTCAGACCCAGTCAGCGAAAGGAAGCTGGATCAAGACGAGAACCAGAGAGATTTTCTTCCTGCGTCCGAGTTGATGGTACGTTTACTCCATTTAACCTCACCGGAACGGTTTATTTACCGGTAATGATAAACTCCTTAACTTCCTGTTTATCAGGAAGTAGACGCCGAGCGGGGGATCCTTGAGCAGTCTGACATAACGTTGGTGAGTCTGACTGACACCACGCTGCAGGAGGAAGTGACAGCCATCACAGAGGAGGAGGAGGAGGAGGAGGAGGAAGTGACAGCCATCTCAGAGGAGGAGGAGGAGGAGGAGGAGGAAGTGACAGCCATCACAGAGGAGGAGGTCCTTCCAGAGGGAGCTGAACACACACAGGTATCTGTGCTCAGGTGCTGAAGGACCGTGTAGAATAATGATCTGTTAGGTCTGTGTACGACCTTTAAACACAATCTGTCCACTAGGAGCTCGACTCGTCACTGAAGGAGACTCCTGAGGACAGCCGGACTCGTTCAGGTACAACCAGGACGGCTGTAAAAATTTATACAAACCTGAACACCCGTCAGACCGAATCCATTGCACCAGCCCGTCGTCTTCTCCGAATACGGCCATTAACCTTTATTTAATGAGGTCACCACATTCTGCCTGTCAGAAAGACCCCAGGTCCAAACCAGGGTTTGAACCCAGGACCTTGCTGTGAGGCAACACTAAACCATCGTGCTGCCATAAAATATGCTGTACATTTTGGACAATGTTGACAAAGCTGCTCACAGATGGTTTGTTTCAGATTTATGAAATTTAAACTCAAAATCCTGGAATTTAAACAGATTCATTAATTAAATCTGTTTTTTCATAATCCTTGATCTGCACGTTGGCGTCCCTCAGGGTCTGCTGCAGCATTCACGTATGACTGAAGAGGACTCTTTCTGGTCCTAGATCAGTTTTGTGCATCAACTCGTGAGGAGCGATTAAATGTTCTGCTCCTCCTCGGGTTCAGGAACCGTCCTGGAGTTCCAGTGGGGTCCAGGCAAAGACCTGCAGGACCTCTTCCAGCTGAAGCGCACGGCTCTCCTTCAGAGATCCAACGGCAGGGTGGAGGAGATCAAAGCCAAAGCAGCTCGCGCAAAGACTCTACCTCGGAGCCAAGGTCCAGTTAAAGACGCAGAACCGGGTCAGGCAGAGCCTCAGCAGAACGTCAGGACAGAGGGAGGACGGGCTGCGCAGAACAAACTGCAGCTTCCCTCGTCAGGTACATGTTGATGCCACACAGGTGTGTCAGAGGGACCCCAACCAGGGAATCTGGACTTGGAGCCGTTCTGGATCCATTATTCTGTCTTTAACTAAAAACGTTTGTTTCTTGAACTTTACGCTGCACTCTGGGTTCCACGTGAAGGTTCTTTAAACACCTAAAAGTCCAGTTTTAATACAGCTCCAGGTGCACAAGCTCTGAGGAATGAAGTTAAAATGTCGACTCTTAAATATGAATCAGCCGTTTGTGACCGTCTCACTCGGTTCTCCCTCAGTTTGTGCCTCCAGCCTGAACAAAGAGGAGCTGAAGATCTGCACGGTGGAGCAGAGGAGGCGTAACCTTTCTGTGATGCACAAGAGAACTCTGAGGTACAGCCCGCAGGTTCGATCCCTCTGCCCGCACTCGTCCGCCCCGCTAGTCGACGCTTCTCCTCTGTGCAGGTTGTACGAGCAGCTGGAGGAGGTGAAGCAGCAGCGAGCCGCCAGGAGCAGACAAGAAGACAACGCCAAAAACAGACTGAAGGCCAAGGAGTTCCACAAGGTGTTTATTTAAGGACAGAAGCTGCAGGGCTCAAACCGCTGCAGAGCTCCAGTTAATCGTTTATGCGTCTCTCAACAGAAAACGTTGCAGAAGCTTCGTGCCAAACAGACTCGACAGTGACTCGACTCTTCTCAACTCAAAGTGTTTTAATTTATTTTAAGTGTTTTATTTAAATCAATAAACTTGTTAACAGTTTGGTCTGAAAATTAATCACGCACTGAAAGTTATTCATCAAGATGATTAAAAAAAAAGGTGTTTATGGAACGAACCACCGAGTCACACGGGTCCGTCAGACCAGCAGCCGCCTGGAAGCGACATGAAATCCTTCAAACAGTCTCAGAAGCTTTAAAATAAAAAGACGAGCTGCGTTCAGGTTTTGGATCTTGGATTAGTTTTGGTGTTAGCTGCTCGGAGACTAAAAGCCACACAGTCCTGACGCTCAATAATCCAGGCAGCCGAGTCCAACCAGGTGAGGTCGGGTGCTCTTCAGGTACAAACTGCAGCCAGGCTCACAGTTTGGAGAAAACCACCGTCTTCGGGCTTTTCTTCTCCAGGGCAGCCTGAGCGGATTTCATCACATCCTGGGTCTGAAGCATTCCCATGTTCCACGTGGCCTGGAAAAGTACAAACCTCTCGTTAGCTTGGCGTTTAGGAGAGTTTCTCTGATCGGTGTGGAAATGAGTCTTCAGCAAAAATCAAACTCGTCTATTCCTTTTTGTTGAAACGAGACCAGATGTTTGATCCGTTTGTAACTGGAGAGACGTTATCAGTTATAGATCATGAATTAAAATCTGACTTTGCTTATTTTAG